TTTCATAAAATCTTGAATATATCTAGAAGTGAAAATAAATGGTCTTACAGTATTTTATACTCATTAATAATGATTCATGATGAAATGCAATAATATCACTGCACTAAAAAGACTTCGAACAATTATTGTTACTTCTCCATTGAAGGTTATGAGCAGACCAACCTTTATCACTACTGGCTTTCTTAATTATTACATGTACTTGCTCTGAAAACATAGCTTTTACAATTGTTTAAATTAACAGATGTTGTTCTATGTACAATGAATACATTTTAAATAATAAACCTTACTGTGTTAACAAATTGTATTTGACAACATGAGAATGAATCTGATGCCCAGTGGTGATGTTGAAACAAACCCAGGTCCTGGTAATATACTAAGACCTGATTAACAAACAAGTCATGTACATCAAGGTTCACTCAGATTTATGAATGCAGTTTCTTGAGCAAGTATACTGGTACATGTATGACAAATACAGTGTAGTTTTGTTGCACTTGTGTACTCTGAGATACTGAACATGGGTCAGTGGAAGTTTTTAGTTGTCAGTACAAAACTAGATTATGGGAAATCACTTGATGATGAGTTGTACCCACAAAGAGTACATATTTATTCACCTGTTTGCAGATGTTCCTTGTACTACCTGTATTTTATAATCAAATAACGGGGACTGTGACATTTCATGTCTTGTATTTTTCAGATCAGACTCAAAATGGCTGTCCGGTGGCCATTTTGGTTTAATGAATGGGTTTCCAGACCCATATGTCTGACTTGTTTTGACTGATTATGTTCAAATTTTAAATATTCATTATACATCATGTCACAGATATACGGATATATTGGTTTGACGATCCTTTTCAAAGTGGCCTAATGGTGGCTATTTTTGTGCTAAAAAAATTGTTTTATTTTTTAGATCGGATTCTGAATGGCTGACTAGTGGCCATTTTGTTTTAATGAATGGGCTTCTAGAGCCATATCTCTGACATGCTTTAACTGACTATGTTCAAATTTCATATATTCATTATACATATATTCGTAATGGCAGATTTTGTTTTAATTAATGCTGTTCTAGAGCAATATCTCTCAATACTCATTTGACGATCAGATACAAATGTCAATCATTTAAATGTTAAACAATCATCATATTCCTGACATGTTTATATTCCAGCTATATTACTATAAACAAAAATTTATATCTTAAATTTGATAACTAACATGGACTGTGCCATGCATGGCTTGTTATTTTCAATTTAGCATCCATGTGTCCTTTTGAATGGTGTGTTACACAAGGCCGAGTTGACAAACATTCATGACTATGAGTACTTCAGAATTATTTGCTTCATGTGGTATGCACAGTTTAAATTGTATGTTGATCAAATTTGTAAAGCGTATTTTGTAGGTGCAGTCAAATCCATGATATAAGACAGGTTATATTATGTCACTTTCACATCATGTTATTCCAATAAAAACATCATTACCTTCATTTCATTAGACTATTAGAACCAGATGGCAAATCTCAGATTTCAGAGTATCCAATCACCAATATACTGTTTTGCTGTCGGGGTGCAGAGAGTACACATGAATTTGATTGTTTTGCTTTTAACACTGGACATGGGAGGCGAGATAATGAGATATTCCAGTGTCATGTGTTCAGATGTGAGGTACCAGAGGCTGTAAGTATATCAATTATACATATTTAAGTACAATGGCTACATACCATACCACAAAACATCATCCTCTATGACAATTTTAGAAATTGGTCACATGAAGAGAAATGATCTTGTACTTTAGTGGGCAATCTTTGTCAGCCAGTGCAATATTATTTCCACATGCATCACGAGAAGAATGACCACAAATTGTAAAGACAACTCAGACAAAAAAATTAGCAAAACACATCCATGATTGTACATAAAACTGTATACATGTAACTGCACTTCAAAAATGGATAGTATAAAAATGGGAATGTCCTCAAAAAGTATACAAAATGTACAAGTTATATGGGTTTTTACTTTACAGCAGTTTACTGTTAAATAATCAATGGTTTCTAGCACAAGAAATTACCAATCAATTACATGTGCGTGCGCGTGCGCGTGCGTGCGCGTGTGTGCGTGCGTGTGTGTGTGTGTGTGTGTGTGTGTGTGTGTGTGTGTGTGTGTGCATGCGTGTGCGTGTGCGTGTGCGCGTGTGTGTGCGCGTGTGTGTGCGTGCGCGTATTGCTATATGTTGGGATACAGATATATAGCTACTTCCGAGGACATACACACCTTCCGAGGACCTTTATCATAGTCCTCGGAAAACATATTTTATATTAATAGTTAATTCGATTATTAATACGTTTTGCGT